AATAATAATAATAATAATAATAATAATAATAATAATAATAATAATAATAATAGATTTAATTGGAGTAACTGCCAGAATCCTGACAAATAACAGTAATAGCAGTAGTATAACAACAAAAATAGCATAACTATAACAACAAAACTGTCAGCACATAAAGTATTAAATATGTAGTCCCTTTTATTGTAGCTTTCTGGTAATATGCCTAACAAGAATATTTCTGGCTTTAGATTGCTTAATTATCTTTTCTAACCACATACGTATTTTCATCCTCCCAAATTTTTTCTGCCTTCACACATGTCCACCCCATATGATAACAAATGCCTGGGAGTCCGATTACATTTCCACCATTGGACGGACGTATTTTTAGACATCTTTGCTAGCCTTTACATCAGGTTTTTAATTTTATTCCAAAATGAAATTGGTGGGTTTTGAAGTTATGGCATGTGCACACACACACGCACACACACACACACACGCACAGAGGGAGGGTGAGGGAGAGAGAGAATTGCATTTGGGTACTTTTTACGGCCATTTGCAAACATGACCATGATTTGCAGTGCTCTGGCCAGCTTTCAGCCGAATATCCCCATTGGGGAAAACGGGCTTGGGGTCATTCATTGAATGACCTCTGTCAAAAAAAAAATCCGCTCCAGTCACATGGTGCTTTAAGTTATGACTGCAATAATTTACGGCCATAATTCCAAAATCAGACACAGAATTCTGTGAGGTTTCTGTAGACCTTTAGTGTTTCTCAGACTTGGCCACTTGGATCTCCCAGACGACATGCTTTAAGATGGATGGTCTCCAGCTCCCAGAATCCTCTAGGCCAGCATGCTTTAAGGTGCAAGGAGTGAACTTCAATTCCCAGAATTCCCCGGCTTGTCTTTGACGTGCTGTTTCTCTCCTTCCGTCCAGTTCCGATGATGGGAGCCCACATGACGATGGCGGGCGACATGAATGGGCTCAGCCCCACCCAGACGCTGGCCCCGCCCCTCTCCATGCCGTCCACTTCCCACTGCACCCCACCTCCGCCCTACCCCACAGACTGCAGCATCGTCAGGTGAGTGGAGCGAGCGAAGCAGGATACTGTGGGCCAGGGGGTGGTGGGGGTGGGGTGTGCGTTCGGTTCCAGCGCAGTCCGCCTCGAGTTCCGAGTTCTGCATCCTCGGCGGAAGCAACCACTTGCGCTGGCTTCGCAACCTGCCTGTTTCCCTCAACTTTTTGCAGAGACTAAGCCCGCTCTGTCTGCGCATCTCCTGAGCACTGTTGTTTGCAACTATAGGTGTGCGAGGGAACGGGAGGGGCCTGCTCAGCCGGTTTGGGGTGCAGACGTCCGCAGGATGCACCCCCCCCAAAAAAAACCCCATCACAAACGAAACCTCCAAGCTTGGCCCCGGGGTTTAGGTCCAGCTGCCATCTTGACTTTTGTCAACACGGATCCTTCAGATCCACAGTGACTTTGGACCTGAGCTGCTCTGCTTGCCTGGTGCCAAGAGGGGGAAAAAGGGGATTTCGCTTGGCGGAGCTGGGCTGTCGAACTCTCGGATTGACTGCGGCAATCCTTTGCGGGGCCATCCTTGGAGATAGCACCTTAGCCACCCAGGGTGTCCAAAAGGCTTCTGGGGTCTCGGAAGCACCTTGGAGCGGGGGTTGTGTGTGCTCAGTTGCAGATCAGCTTCAGTGCCCCGTTTAAGGGATTTGGGCTCAGGTTCAAGACTCTGGAGATGGTCTCGTCCCACAAGACTCCGGACACAAAATCAGATTCTCGCACTCGGGACTCGCTTGGCGAGCCTCCTCTAAGTACAAGGGATGTGCCCTCTTGCCAAAGGCGGGGTCTCTGTGCCCAGAGGGGGCCGGCTTTGGATGCCCCGTTAGCCAGGGTTGGCTCTTCTCCCCCTCGGAACGGGACTACACACCATGGCCAACTCGCCACGGGATAATTCAGAAAATGCAAAAGTCAAATTCCTTTCGACGGAACAACGGCCGATAATAATAATAAAACAAAGCCTAATCCAGAAATAACAGGAGTTAACAATAATTTCGACTCAAACCTGGTCATCGAACGTGAAAACTAACCGCATGAAAACGATTAACGCAGCCCTGAATTGTCCCACGACAACTTGCAGAGGGTGGTGGGGTGGGGCTGGACTAGATGTCCTCCAAAGTCCCTTCCAGCTCTATTCCTATTCTAAAGTGGCCGTGACGAGTTGGCCAGGGCGAGTTATCCTAGACCCTCTCCCCCCCCCTCCCCTCCTCTGGGTGGTTGGGGTCTCTCTTCGTCTTCCTGCCCTTGCGCCTCTTCTTAAATAGCGGTGGTTGTGCTTCGGCTGTTCCCATTTTCCGCATCCAGGGTTTTGGTTTGAGGGGGGGGTGCGAGGAGGAGGCGGGCAGGCTGTGGCCTCGCTTTGGTGCTGCTTGGCGCTTGGGAAGGAAGCCTTATGAGGGGGGGGGGCGAGGGTCTGGCAAAACGACTCACCGGGGCAGCCGGTCCAAAGGAATTGCCCCCTTAGCCACCGCGACGAAGCCTGTGCACCGAGAGTTCCCTCCCATGGCTGACTCGCTGGACCTGTGGGGGCGGCTTCCAAACCCAAAACGCCCCAGTGGGGCTTTCTTGGGGGGGGGGGGAGAACCTCCCTATCCCGCCCCCTCGCTGGATCTTCTCCCGTTTTTCCCGGCCGGCAGGAAGCGCCCGATTCCTGTCCCTCCCCCGGCTCTCCCGAGCTGGGATGGTTGCTTTGCAGACGTTTCACGGCCCAGCGAGGTAACCTCATCAGTTCTAGAAGGGAGGAAGGGCCGCGGAAAGGAGGAAGAGGAGCAAGAGGACTGCGGGGTCCTTGGCGGTCTCCGAGCTCGGTGGTCTTACTCGCCGTTTCATGAGCCAAACTAGGTGATATCATCAGGGCATCGGACGTCATCGCTAGCACTGATGATGTTACCTACTTGGGTCGCGAAAGGTCTGCAAGAAAACCACCAAGCTTGGAGACAACAAGGACTCCACAGTCGTTCTCCTCCTCCTCCTCCTCTTCTTCCTCCTCCTCTCCCTCCTCCTCTCCCTCCTCTCTCTCTTCTTCCTCTCTGTCTCCCTCCTCCTCCTGGTCTCCCTCTTCCTTCTCCTCCTCCTCCTCTCCCTCTTCCTCGTCTTCCTCCTCCTTTCCCTCTTCCTCCTCCTCCTCTTCTTCCTCCTCCTCTCCCTCCTCTCTCTCTTCTTCCTCTCTGTCTCCCTCTTCCTCCTCCTCCTCTTTTCCCTCCTCCTCTTCTTCCTTTCCCTCTTCCTCCCCTCCCTCCTCCTCTTCCTCTCCCTCGTCTTCCTTTTCCTCCTCGTCTTCCTCTTCTTCCTCCTCCTCCCCCTCCTCTCCCTCTCCCCCCTCCTCCCATCTACAAGCGCCACTCCCTCCTAGCCCTGCTGATGTTCCCTAGTAGGGTCCTGAAATGTCTGCAAGAAAACACCCTGGCTCAGAGAGCCCCCCCCTCCGCCCCCCCCGGGCCCCTGGTTTCAACCCCAAGCTTAGAAATACCCTCCTTTTTATAGAGCGCCGGGTGCGGATCTTGCCAGGTCGGGGCTCTGCAGTTCTGGGTGACCTCCTCATCTCAATTTCTCCTTCTCTCTTTCTCTTCCTCTTCCTCTCTCGCCCCCCCC